TGTTGATGGATGAGGCCCACAAGTCTCGGTTCTCCATCCACCCAGGGGCGACGAAGATGTACAGGGGATCTTCGCCCGGATTATTGGTGGCCTTGCATGAAGCGGGACGTCGCCTGGTACGTTGAGAGGTGCCTGACCTGCAGGAAGGTCAAGGCGGAGCACCAGAGGCCGCACTGCAAGATGCAGCCGTTGGATATTCCCGTGTGGAAATGGGAGGATATCACTATGGATTTTATTACAAAGCTGTTGGATTAATGTCTAAGTCCATAACTATATTTGGTATGTACTTGACCCGACCCGGCATGGTCCATTTGGGTTGCACTTCACCGGCACAATTTATATGGATAGTCTTTTGAGAATAGTATATTTATGATTTATATTAATATATTATAAGTTCTAATATATTAATATGGAATCATATTATTTAATTAGTATTGATTAAGAATTAATTTAGAATTAATTAAGCTATCAAAAAGAACTAATTAAATATGGACTCTTATATATATGGAATGGGCCAAGTTCATTTAGGTTGGGCTAAGCTTTCATGGATGGTCCATGGAGCTTTTAACCCATGGATCCTATGTAAATGAAAGGTCATGGGTATTAGGGTTTACATGGATGTAACCCTAATCCTCCATAATATATAAAGGGGTCCTTGGCTCACAAAATTTGCACAAGTGTGTGAAAATAAGAGTGGGCCGATTTTAGTGTGCATACATATTCTCTCAAGTTCTTCCAAGGTGTTTTGGTGATTTGTGATTCCACTTGAGGCTTCCACACTATTGGGGCTAAGCTCTTAAAGCTTGAAGACATCAAGCTACATCAAAAGGTATGTCATCTAACTAGAACTTTGTAGTATAGGTGCTTCATAATATGCTAGTTAGGATGAAACCTTGGAATAGTTAATATTTGCATGTATAATAGAGAAAACATAGATCCAAGGTTTATAGGGTTGCATGTACACCATAGGAGTGTTAGAATGCTCAAAACCCAACAAAAGCTTCCCAGGACCACATGTGGGATTGATTCGATATGGGTCATCGTGGATCGATTGACCAAGAGCGCTCACTTTATACCGATCCTGGAGAGTATCTCGGCCGAGAAGTTGGCCGAGATTTATGTGCGAGAGGTAGTGGCACGACATGGAGTGCCTGTCTCAGTGGTGTCAGACCGAGATGTCCGGTTTACTCCCAAATTTTGGAAGCGGTTTCACGACGAGATGGGTACTCGTCTCCATTTCAGCACCACTTTCCACCCTCAGACGGACGGGCAGAGCGAGAGGATGATTCAGACTCTCGAGGAAATGCTTCGGGCATGTGTGCTAGACTTCGGTAGCAGTTGGGATACGTATCTTCCGTTAGTGGAGTTTTCGTATAACAACAACTACCACTCCAGTATAGACCGACCTCCCTTCGAGATGCTCTACGGGAGGAAGTGTAGGACCCCAATCTGCTGGGGTGAGGTCGGTCAGAGAGTCATGGGGAGTACAGAGGTAGTACTCCATACCACGGAGCGAATTCAGCAAGTCCGGAGCAGGCTCCAGACTGCTCAGAGTCGGCAGAAGAGTTACGCCGACAAGCGGCGTTCGGACTTGGAGTTTCAGGTGGGCGATATGGTCCTCCTGAAAGTGTCACCCTGGAAGGGTGTTATCAGATTTCGGAAGCGGGGAAAGCTGGGCCCTGGGTTCATTGGTCCGTTTAGAGTTTTGGCCCGGGTAGGACGGGTTGCTTATCAGTTAGATCTTCCAGCAGAGCTCAGCCAGATCCACAACACCTTCCACGTTTCTCAGTTGCGGAAGTGCTTGGCGGATGAGTCAACAGTTGTACCATTGGAGGATATTCAGGTTGATGGTAACCTGAATTACATCGAGAGACCCATTGCGGTCTTGGATCGGAAGACGAAGACCTTGAGGAACAAGGTGGTTCAGCTAGTGAAGGTGCAGTGGCAGCATCGGAAGGGTTCGGAGTGGACATGGGAGCCTGAGGAGGAGATGAGGGAGCACTACCCAAAGATGTTTACAGAGACAGCAGACTTCGAGGACGAAATCTAAGATAAGTGGGGGAGAATTGTAACGCCTCGTTACTGGTACGCATTTTTATTATTATACTACTTCTTGTTTTAGAAGCTACTCGACGAGTTAGTAGCCCTAACTCGTCGAGTAGCAGCGGGTCTGCACGTGGATTTAGCGTGGCGACTCGACGAGTCTGTTATTCCCGACTCGGCGAGTCCGCCAGTTTGGATGAAACCCTAATTCTAAGGGTTTGTACCCTATTTAAACGTCCTTATAGCCCCCATCCCAGCCTCCAGCACCTCTAGAACGTTTCCCCTCGAGACCTTAACCCTCCATTGGTGAGTTTGAGTGATTCCATCCTATCTTGAGTGATTTTGTGCTTTCTTGAAGTGGTAGAGAAGAAGGAAAGAGAGAAGGTTCAAAGGAGAAGAAGTAGATCCATAAGCTAGCCCTCTTTTGCTACATTTTCTGGTAATCAAGCTTAACACTTGACTTATAGTTCTATAGATCTTCTTTTTGTCATTTTTATGAAGTTTTGGGACCAACAAGCTTAATCCTTGAGACCTGGTCGTCCCAAGTCGATTCACCTTCAGATCTAGGTTCTGGAATCGAGTACATGTCATGAGGATGCAAGCTTTATGGCCATGATAGCCCATGCACCCCCTTTAGACCTCATTTTTGGGTCCTTTAAGCATATGCTCCCATGCATGCGCGTAAAGTTCATAACTTTACATGCTAGATCGGTCTTAGAAGCCCAGATCTACCTTTTGGATGAGTGTTGTACGTCAGAAATCAAGATATAAGGCATGGACAATATCGACTCGGCGAGTTGTTCTTAGGACTCGGCGAGTCCAGAGTTTGAGCCCCCTTTCTGCTGTGGTTCAAAGGAACCCCAGTTGAGTGTTAGCAAGGTTCGGACAAGTCCAGAAGAGTGATTCGATGTATTAAGATATAGCTATAATCTAGGAATCATGGGACTCGACGAGTGCAAGAACACACTCGGCGAGTCCAAGGCAATCTCCTTACCCGCAAGACCAGACTCGACAAGTTGTTCATACAACTCGGCGATTCGTAGACTGGACGTGTTCATATGATGAAGGAGAACTCGGCGAGTTGTTCATAAAACTCGGCGAGTCAGATGAAGGATGACTCGACGTTATTATATAAGGAGAACTCGTCGAGTCTTTGCTAAACTCGACGAGTAGAGTCGGGTTGAGGAATAGAAGAAAGGATAGGGACTCGGCGAGTTGGTGGCCCAACTCGGCGAGTCAGGTCAACTGGAAGTTGACTTTGACTAGGATGTTGACTTTGGCCAGGGGTAAAATAGCCACTTTACCCTAAGATTAGTAATCAGTGTTTGACTAAGTGTCTTTATGGAATTGTAGCCGGGGAGTTACCGGAGCAGCAGACAGACATTTCCCGCCCAGCACTCCAGCAGTCAGCTTTACGATGTGAGTTTCCTTCCAGTAGGAACGGGTCTACGGCCACAATGCCGGCCCGTTTAGATGATAGTAGTTCCAGACTTCGGTCTGATGCCGGGCGGGGCCCGATGCAGTAGTATGTATGCTTGATGTCTTCGTGATTCATGCATGTTTGTGATATGATCCGGACTTTGGTCCGATGTCGGGCAAGCCCGATGCAGTATGTGATTATGCTATATGTTCATGTTATGTTATGTTCAGTTTATTCAGGACTTCGGTCTGATGCCGGGGGGCCCAATGTAGTGGGTGGGGCCCAAGTTATTCCGGACTTCGGTCCGATGCCGGGCGGGGCCCATATTATGCCGGACTTCGGTCCGATGTCGGGCGGGGTCCGATGCAGTGGGCAAGGCCCAGTATGTGTTATTTGTGTTATTGTATGGTATGTGGTAGTTTGGGGGAGCTCATTAAGCTTTGTGCTTACAGTTTTCACTTTTGGTTACAACTACTTCCACTAGCAAAGGGAAGGGCTCGGGTTGATCGCATGGCACACACCACAGTCACAGCCTGGGAGTTCACTCTGATGATTTGATATGAGATTTTGATTTGAGATAGATACTATGATGTTTTATGATACATGATTGTGATTTTACTTATGATTTTGGATGGTTGATGGTTTTATTAATGTTTTAAAACGAAATTTTTGGGTTGTATTTTTGGGATGTTTCAGTGACGTAACCACCTAAAGCACCAATCATCTTTCTTATCTCCACGATTTAGAGGGGATAATGTTCACATGTTATAACAAAGTAAAAGAAGAGAGAATTTGGTCGTTAAGGCACACTACTAGCTTCACGAGCTTCTGTTGGACATCAACATAACACATGGAGGGGATGGTGTTCATTAGTTACAACGTTGATCACATCAACTTAACACCATGCACGATAAAAATACATGATATATCCTTAAAAATGGATTGTTTTTGTAAGACCATTTGTAATACATACCACGAGGGTATTCGTGGTTGACGTGACCACAAACCATGATCACGAACACCATCCCGGTATTCCATGGTGGCTCGTGGTCATGATGAATTGTTGTCCGTTCAACGTTCCACAACGTCTAATCAAAAGCTCGATTCGAAATTCACCCGCTTTGACTTCTTTGACTAGCAATTCAACGGCTGTTTTTCTATATATATATATATATATATATATATATATATATATATTAAAAAACAAACATGTACTTATATAAATACCATAATATACGACCTAAATTTTACACCATTTTTCTCTTTCTCTTTTCTCTATTTACATGCACGACTTCGTTTGTGGTTCAAAAAACATGGATATCAATCAAAATATCCCACCAAAAGAAAAAAAATAAAAAAATTGTAAAATATGGATCTTAATCAAAATATCCAACTAAAATAAAAAAGAGAAATAAATTGTAATGGAAATGTTGGTTTTTTTGGTAGAAAAGAAAAAGAGAAATGTAAATGCACTAAATTTGTGTAAACAAAAATATCAGTTGCGGATCCAAAGCGGGTCGGATCGAATCCCTTTAAAACGGACAGATGCTCGTACACAAAGCCCTAAATACGATTCGACTTAGAACATTTTGTTGATTTTTGTTTACAAACTCAAAATCAAAATCAAGATCAAAGATGGGGAAGTCGATGCAAGATCTTCACGCTGCAGCTCGATCAGGTGACATCGTTGCCGTACAGACGATCATCACCTCTAATCCGTTGTCTGTCAACTCCAGGGATAGACACTCCAGAACACCGTATCCTCATATCTACTCTTCTGTTTCATGTTTATTACGATTAACAACCTCATTTTGATCCTACGTCTAAGGTTTCATTTCAAATTTAATGTTAATGTTATTCTGTCTGAACAGTATACTCATAAAATTGGTGTAAGTTATACGAGTTTTCCCTAAAAAGATTGAATTTCCTCAACTTGATTGGGAATCGGTATGTTTTAAGCACAATTCCCCAAACAGTTTGTGAATTTCCCGTTTAATTGAACTGTGGATTGATCATAGCTCTCCCATGGTTAATCCACTCTGTCTATACCAACAATGAAACATCAGGTATCTATTAGATTCTTCTTATTGGACCCGCTAGTGCAAATCGCTACAGAATTAGGGCTCGAATCACTTCCTATGATGGCAACCCTTTCATCCATTCATGTTTGAAAATTCAATCTGTTGATAAAACATTTGTGGTGTCATATGGCAACAATTATGGCTTGTTTATTTCTCCTTGATTCAAAATTACTGAACCCTAGACTACATTTAGCAGCATGGGCTGGTCAGACACAGGTGGTGAACATCCTTTGCAAGAACAAGGCAGACATTGGTGCATCTGCCATGGATGACATGGGTGCAATTCACTTTGCTTCTCAAAAAGGTCATTTAGAGGTGGTAAAGACACTTGTATCATCTGGAGTTTCCATCAAAACTACAAATCGCAAGGGCATGACTCCACTTCACTATGCTGTTCAAGGATCTTACCTTGATCTCATCAAGTACTTGGTTAAAAAAGGTGCAAATATAAGTATAAAAAATAAAGCTGGGAAGAGTGCTCTAGATCTTGCAAGTAATGAAGAGATCCTTTCATTGTTAAGTTCTCCAACCGAATCAAAAGAAACAGATAAGAATGGCACTGACTCAAAGACTGAAGATCAAGAAAGTCAACCGAAAACAGAGAGTTGTGAAAAGGAAGATGATGGAAAACAGAAAGATGAATCAGTGAAGAGAAAGGTTCAGGATGATGTTGGCAATAATGTGATTAATGTAGGGATTAAGAAGACAAAAGTTGCTCTTAATCATCTTATAACATCAGATGACACACAAGAAGAGGAGGATTAGAATTGTTTATACGTAACATGAGAAATATGGTCACAAGAAGTGTAGAAGTTGAATTGATGTTTTAGCTTTTGTGTAGACTATATACATAATATGAGAAAGTAAAACCCTAATGTAGTGTCTGATTTGAGAAACTGTTGAGTACCCTTTTAGCTTTAGGTTTTTCTTAATGTGTTTCTATACACTAGTGTCTTTGTTACAACTCTCTTGTCATGAAAACAATGTAAAATAAACATCTAGAGAGTGAATGTCTGAATGATTATCATAATTTTTATTTCATTAAGTACAATGAAATCATGAACAAACTATCTATAAAGATAAGGAGTCTAGATTTTTAAAAGATAGTAAGAGTATAATGGTCATTTAGGGTGTGTTCATTTTGAGGATGATGCAACTTCTCACCAACTAACTATTTTGAACGTACCCACAAGGTCACTTTTTTGCATTAATGTGTGTGAATGGTTACCTCTAAAGACATTAAAATGCAAAACGTAATTTTTTTGGGCACATTCAAAACAGTTGGCTGTATAAGACATCCTTTTATTCTTCGCGTTATAAGCTGCAAAACATGTAATAGTAAGTAGTAAGGTCCCTTTCTCTTTTACTTTTAGTGTAGTGGGAATGACAACATAATAATTACTCCCGAGCGAGTTAGGTTAGAGGGAGTGGTGTCACATTCGGTCTACCGTCACCTCACTTTTTTGTTTGCCACATCACTGTCACATATTGGTTATGCCCCGCACCATCTTCAACATGTCATTTAGGTGGGATGGGTAAACCTTTCAATTTTTTTAAGGTTTTTATTTATTTATTTATTTATTTAAACTAAATTTTATTAATTGAATGGAAAATTACATCACTTAAAACATGACTTAAACATAGGAAAAACTATAATTAAATACTTAAAACATGACTTAAAGCCTACATATCTTAAAGATTATATTTTTCCTCGTAATTTTCGCATTCACCTTCTCCGCAATTTGACGTTCATCATTGGACAAGTAAGAAACATCTTTCATTAAGAGTTTATAATCACGAGTCTTTTTTTTTCTTGTGCAATCTTCGATAGTTTTTCGATATTCATACTTAACTTGTCGCGCCGCGATTTCATATCATCACTTTGACTTGAACCACCTTTGAGACCTTTTGCTTGATATCTTCCCATACGATGGCTAGGCATTGGAACCTCAATTGGTTCGTCTAGGTTGAGGTCATGCCGACACGACTATCAAATGATTGGTTGGTTTTGGAGGTTTTGGTTCTTTTAGACCCACCTGTAGTGAACTCTTCCAATGTATTTATTTGGAGCTATTTTTCCGAATCATTCACAACATTTCAAAACTCACCATGTTTGAAAATACGTATCTTTTCTATAAGGTAAGTTCTAGAGTTTTGGTTATGAAGATTGCATCATTTGCACCGCTTGGCCATTGTCACTAAATGGTCATAAACATACCATTGAACTCCATTACATTTTTGTTGATGTTCCTCCACTTCGAGGATATTTAATGTTTTGTTTGGTAGTTGTCTTTTTTCATTTGGGCAAGGAAATGTTTCCATATATTTTTTTATAAAAAGTCGACCAACTTTGATCATTGCTAACCGTCAGATCTTCCTAAACGTTAAGCCATGGTTGTGCCAACATCCTTTCTTCTTATGGGATCCACGCTAAATTTGGGGACTTCCCTTATGTGTTCGGGTCAAGTTGTGTTTCGTGTACACCATTGGAATTGGTTGAGGAATCGATTTGGGGTTGGGGTTGATGATGTGATTAGGATTACATTTCTTGAATTTTCTCATATGGATTAAAATCGGATTGAAATTGAAATTGGAACTCGGATTGGGATTTGTGCACATGGACTATAATATGGAGGATTTTTGGCGTAATGAAACAATGTTGTGAATAGATCGACCGATCTATTTGAGGTTGGTACCACAAGGGTGATGAAGGGTTTTGAGATTTCTTCTTTGTTTTTTCTTGGAGTTTTTTGGTTGCTTGGAGAATACATTTGAAGATTGAGTATGAAGAGTTTGAGAGAAGTAATTAGAATTATGATGTAACATCTTATTTTCAAAACATTTTTTTTTCATTTTTAATTAAGGATATAATATTGTTTCCCAAAAACCAAGTCAAGAAAACATAAGTATCCAATACAATCATCCCAAAACATCAGAGTATCAAAACATGCGAAGTCGCAGACAGAGCCGGTCCATTGTTTTTCAATGCCCAGGGCAAAACGAAAAAAAATGCCCCATACTATAGACCAAACTCCTAACAAAAAAATTATAAAACAAAGTGCAATAAGATTTATAATCAAACAATATATCAACCTTATTTGTGTACTCTAAATATAAAATATTTTTTTTACAGTTTACAATAATAACTGTCATAAATAGGTACATATGCTCACAACCTCTTCTTATAATCTCCCCCGTTCATATTTGTTGCTTCGATTTCCCTTTTCAAAGTCAAGAGTCCCTTTTAAAATCATGGTAAACACCTTTATCAGGCCTCTTAAAACTTGATTGCTTAAAACCAATAAACTAATGAAGCATGTATGGTGGAATCTGGTTGTACTCCTCTTATGCATTTCATCAAACACCATATATGTTTGACAAAGGAGCTTACTTACATTGACCACAACTGCACCAGGTGTCAAAGTACTTTCACTCAACCACTTCCTTATGTGAAATAGGGAGCTGATATGTGAGATAAAGGGCAAAAAAGTAATAAAAAAACAAATAAAGTTTGATCACTATCTCAATGTGACATCCCCATTTTCACGGCCAGAAAAGACCGATTTTGTTTATGCTTTATAGAAATCAGAGTACTTCTTTTAATAAAAAATGTTGCGGAATTTGTTCCCAGAAAAACATGATAAATACGTTATCAAAGCATTTCCTAAGAAATTTATTTTATTCATTTTAAAACATTTGGGATGTCATCGTCAATACAGAAACATAAGCATAAACAGAACTTACATTTATTTACACTAATGATCTACATCCCTTTAATCTCTCAGTGTAAATTAGCTTCATATCGACACCTGTGATACAAATAAGCTTGAGTGGGTCAGGTTGGGAAACCTGGTGAGTACATAGGGTTTTCAACCCACAATAATATAGTTAATTTGTTTCTTCACATAATACATGTCAAACAATTAACCCAATTGCCCATCCCCATTTTCTTCATTTAATATTCCCTAAAGAATTATCTTAAGGGTCATCTCCTATATCGTATTTACCTCTCATCTCTTTACATCACATTTCCTTATATGTTCGTTCCTAAGGACTTTTCCTGAGGATCATTGCCTACATCACATAATCAGTAATGATTCGGGGATTACCCCCTCAATACGCGCCTAGTAAGGGTTGGAGTATCATCGCATGAATACGTAGTTACAACATCGCCTGAACTCGTAATTCATAGTAAGGGTTAGAGTATCATCACATGAATACGTACTTACAACATCGCTTGAACTCGTAATTCATCACCTACAGGTTATGAGCCTGCTGGTGTTTCCACGGGGTTGTCTAGAATAGTCCGTGGTCGCCATCTATACTCTGGTAGATGACTACATCTCCACATTGCCGGACAAGGTTATGGTATCTTTCATCCTACATCCCCAATTCATCATCACCTATCTATCCTCACCTAATTATCATCACCTTCTTATCATCACCTATCTCTCATCATTTTATTTCATTACACACCAACTATTTCATTTACCCATGTCATACCCAACATATTTATAGATATAAATACCCAACATATTTATAGATATAAAATACATATACAGTTTAAATCATTTTAAAACATGTATAAAATCATTCATCCAGCATAGACAGCAAGTATTCAGATAGTATGCACATATAGCACGCAATTTATATAAAATACTTCATATCTATGTGTAAGATGAAAGTAACTATGCACTCACCTTACTATACTAAAACTACAGAAAGAGAAGTCGAATCACGAGGGACCGAAATGCTCGGGGGATAAGAAGAGAAAGACTCTTGAATCAAGAGAATGGTGCAAGAAATATGAGAGCCCAAGCCTCTTATTTATAGTAATTGAATTTACAAAAACTACCCTCCATAATTACTTAATGACCTTATAGTTATATAAACGACTAAACACCCCTTCATAATACTATTTTAAATAGATTTAACGATATTTGTACTAAACTAATGTCGAAAGTACTCAACACTAGTCTTATAGTAACCGCATCGTCGATATGTGTACGTATATATGATTTATACTTTATTTTAATACGTAAATATGCTATTATAATTTGTAACTCGTTCATACGAACTCCATTTTTTACGTTCTTTATATCCACGCGTTGGTATTTACGAGTACTACAACTTTCATTTAGACGCCGTCAGCTAATTCTCATTCTATCTCCGATTTACAAAACTGTATCGAATTTATCGCGCTCGAAGAGTAGGGACCAAGTTTCGTCCATATCTTTAACATACGAGCTCTACTCTCGACATTATTTATATCCACGCGTAGGTAAAAACAATATCTAAAACTTTCATTTAGACTCCGTCGGCTAATTCTCGACCGCTCTTAAATTTAACAGTAGGAGGAGATTATACTGTTAAATGTCCGCGTAAAATTCATAACTTCTACATACGGACTCCGTTTTCGTCTGTCTTTTTACCGTTGAGTTCATATTAATGAGATCTTCAACTCTCATTTAGGTCGCGTAGGCCAAAAACCGCTCGAACTAAAATTCTAGTTTCGGGTCGTGCACTGCTATGCCAAATCTTAGAAAATTCATAACTTCCTCATACGAAGTCAGATTTGGGCGTTCTTTTTTTGTATGTTCTCGGTTTAACGTATACTACAAATTTTGTTTAGATCACTAAGGATAAAAAGTCTTCTACCGTAAATTCACTATTTACGTCTCCCAGTGCCGTGCCGGTTTTGCCGTAAAACTTCGACGGACCATAACTTCTTCGTTATAACTCGGATTTCGGCGTTCTTTATATGTACGGAACCCTTGTAACATATACTACAACTTGGTTAAGATTAATCATTCTAAATAATCTTCCATCAAAAACTCATTTTTGATGCTCATCATCTCTAAATTGAATAGCATGGATCTGCGGGCGTTACACTCAAGGTATTTG